ATATTCAATATTTGCAATATTTGTCGAATCAATTAGAGTATCATTTATTAATGTTTACATAAAAATTTCACATGTGGAATTAGAAAAATTAGGTAATATTTCATTAAGATTATTTTTATAAGATATTGAAAATTCTTCTAAATATTTCTCAGATTTAAGTAATGATGGATTATATATTTAATAATTACTAATTTCTTAATTGCTTGGTAACATTAATAATTTCGTTAATTTTACCTTTCCTTATTCCATTACAAAATAAGGTTATAATAACAAACTATTTGATGTTTTATTATTTATCTTTTTCTAAATAGTTTTCATTTCAAAATTATTAATTGATAAAGATAAATGAGTAGGCATTTCTTAAAGATTATTAGGTAAAAGATATGCTGAATTTAGTTTCATCCATGATTTTATAAAATTGTCTTTATTTAATTTACCATTACCTTATAAGTAAATTCCTCCTCCTTATTCTGCTTTGTTATTATAAATAATTGTTTGAATTATTTTAAATTAATTATTATTAATTGATAAATACAAAGCTCCTCCTTGGGAGGTTGCAATATTATTTAATAATTTCAAATTGACAAGAGTAATTCTTACATTTTCAGCCATAATTGCAGAGCCTATAATACCCCTATTCATGTTAAATATAGAATTCTTAATTACCATTTATGATTCTTATTAATTTTCTGCTTTAGCATATACACATCCATAATTTGATATATTATTCTTGAGACAATATAATTCTTGGATAAATATTGATAAATATTATTTTATATCAAATTAAATTATTCCATTCTAACATTCTAAACAATTATTATTTGATATTAATATCTAAATTAATTTTATTCTATTTTGAGAATTCGTACTTAAAATATAGATTAAAGTCCCTTTTTAACTTGATAAAAGCAAAATTTGTTCAAATATCCATGCAATTTTTATGGGTGCATTTAAATCTTAATTTAATAATTAAAGATTGATATTACAACTTTTTTATTCTAATACTATTTTGGAATATTCAATTAAATTAGTCTTAATTTTATTAAAATCAAATGAAACTAAATTCATTATCTCAATATTATATAAAACAGCGTTAAATTACATGGATGTTGTTTATCCAATATGAATAATGTTAATTGGATAAAATAACTAAACCTCAACAATATGTAGATTTTCCAGTTAAATAGTGTATGAATCTAAAACTTTTATTATTGAAGACAATAAAATTCCTTAAAATTAAAAATTTTTAATTCTTAAATTGCATCCTTATAAATTAATAATGGCATTATCATATGTTATTTTCTAAATTTCATAGATTGTTATAGATTCCATTTTTTAAAAGTATTAAATTAATTAATTTTCATCTTATTATATTGAAATGTTTTTCATAGAAACAATATTTGATTTTAGATTTAATAGTTAAAACTCTATTTTCATAAATTAATTTACTAAAGAGAAACAGTTTTAAATGACTATATTTTGAAAAATAATAGTATTAGACTTAAATGATGGAACTATTGATAGGATAGATGGGGTTAATCTATTTTATATCTCTTTCAAGGTTATATTTTGAAATTTAAGTTCTAAAAGACTATTTTTTGAATATATTGATATGGCTCAATCATTCTCTCCAATTTAAGAGAAAATATTGGATGCCTATATCTTAGAACAGTTTGTTATGATTACTTTACCTAAGCTAATTATGATAGCACTAGACCTAAATTCTTTTTTAGTTAAATATTTCCTATAAAATTTAAGCCTTTAAGTTTAATACTCTTGATATTTCTATATTTTATTAGTATATAATAAATCTTCCACATTTATCAGAAATAGATTATTATTCTGTAAAAATAAGAGAAGTATTAATTAGAATATTATTTGAAATATCATATTAATCAATTGATAAACTATTTGATTATGAATTTGATAATAATTTATATAATAACAATGTCTAAAATATTTAAGAATCTCTTATATTCAAATACCTGATATAGTGAGCGGTTAGGAGATAAAAATAAAAGAATCAAATCAAATTAAATTTTATTCTAATCACTCTAATAAGACTATTTTAAAATAGTAAAAACTTTGAATTTTTTAATTTGCTCAAATTATTTAATCTTAATTATTTGCCATAAATTTAGAATCAGTAAGTATTTAATTAGTAGGAGCATCATAATTACGTATAAATAATTCCAAGGATTACAATATAATAAATAATAGTTAGTTGAAACTGATAGAATCAAATTTTTTGATTTTTATTATTGGTTAATAAGTAGATGGAGAGTGATTGCCTAGAAATGTCAACTCTACCCAAAATAAGGAAAAAATTCTTTTTTTTAATTAGTTAGTTAATGATTATACAATTATTTCATCTGAGTTACAGAATTTTTGAATAGGAATGATTAACTTAAATCTTTATACTCAAATATGATTTAAATATTCAAAATTAAATTCATCAGAAAAAGGCCTCTATCCATCAAATATTACTTTCAAATCTTCACAATTATTGTTTATCTAATTATCATTTTAAATATATTTAATATTAAATAAGATTGTCACAAATATCATTTATGCAATATTTAGCTATTTATTAATAAGGATCAATAATGATATTTTAATCTTGCCTTTTTTGAATACATTTATAAAAATACTTTCTGTTGTAATCATTTATTTCATATGCAGGATTTAGAGTCTAAAATTGATATCTATTTCATACTTAAATCTCTTATGTTGTACTTTATTCACAAACCTAACATAGCAAAGGGCAAGTAATACATGACCCTTTTTCTATAGACCTTAAAGGTTCCATATAATAATCCTGAATAAACTTCATCCAAGTAAATCCTTTATATGGTTATTCTTCCTTTTAACAAGTAACATAATGTAAATGGCAATATAATCTCCAGAAATTTTGGTTCATTGCATAATTATATATACATTTGATTGCAAGAGGTTTTTTAGATTAGAAGTTTGAGGACTTTGGATACATATACTTATTTGGTAGAAATTACATTAAAAAACTTCAGATTTGTTACAATCAAGCATCTAATTTAGTATAATCTCCTTCTATACACAATTTTGCATATTCTTCTTCACAGATTGTAAAATGTCCAGTTGTTAGGGAACTCGAATATCCGTCTTCGCAAATTATACATTTTACAATCGAATAAGGTGTTTAAATACATTATTTACAATTAGATATATATCTTTAAAAGTCTTAAATAGCATGGGTTAATAAAATTGCTCAAACAATTGGGTAATGTTGATTCTTTATAAATGTATTTACTTAATGTAAAGTCAAATATGAATCCATCTAAACATAATGCACAACCTATTTTAAGAAACTCATCATTTAAAAAGAGTTAAAATTCACTATAGAGTGTACATTTAGTTAAATCATTACTTGCATATTCAAAATAAAATTAACAATTCTCTATCTCACATAAATTACAAATATTTTCAGATGTTTTGTAATAAGAAATAAGCAATTATTTTTATTAATGACCCCCTACGAAGTATTTCTACACATCTTCCATTTCTTAATCTAGATATATTTGAACATTTTTAGCAAATTTATTTTGTAATTAACACTATAAAAATTTAACATTATTCAATAGTACAAGAATAACTAACTAAATATGTGTTTGAAGAAGAGTAAAATCTTAGAAATCTCTAATTTGTCTCTTCAAAATCTAAGTATACTGAATCAAATGGATCCTAATCCAGATTTAAACCCTATTACAATGGCTTAATATCAATTCCATCAAATATATAATATGTCTTTAAATTCTCAATTTTATATTGTGCAGGACTTCCAAGTGTATCAATATATAGATTAGTATAAAAATATAGATCATTTTGCCAACCTTTAGGATTTTAAACACATTCCAAACATGTCATTAAATATCCTTTAAAAAAGAAGGGCTAAATTTATATAGAAATGACTTACCATTTTAAGCAAAATTCATCTTTATTAAAATATCCTTAAGGGCAATCTGATATTGAATTATATTCAAATTCTGGATCAAGTAGTAAATTATAGTTTTCCATACTCTTACGCTCTAGATCATCAATATAATCAAAAGGACAAACACATACTTTGAATTATGGAATATAGATTCGTTTTGATTCTTCTGAACAAGATAAAAAATCTTGAATTGTAGGACATTCACATTATTTGCAACTATGATTACAACCTTTGAAAATATCACCTTCTGATGCTGAATTTTAAAAATTCCACTCAAATAATTAGTTGATGATTGTAATATATTTCCAAAATATAATTTAAATTATACTTCATAGAATTAGTTAACTATAAATTGAGTTTCATAAAGGATTTAATCTCATCCTTCATAAAATCTAATTGTTATTTAAAGTAAATTATTACTCAAAGAAACATATAAGAAATGCCATAATTTAATATTATTGATAGTCCATTCTTTTTATAATAAAAAATTTTACTTCTTAAAATCATAATCAACAAGTGGAAATACAAAGCTATATGTAGTCACAATCAATCTAATTTTGAATTTGAAAATTCATAGAATAATTAAAATGGTGATAAATTTTCATTTTTAGCATAGCTGTTTTCGAAATTTTCTGATATTTTTAACAATTAATAAATAAATGATTAATCTTCTTGACGAATATTTGAAATTTGAATCCAAGTTTCAAGTTAAAATTCATCACAATTTAAATTTTCTGAAGCAAATACTTCAAGGTTTAATTTAGAAATTTCTAAATCTGGTAAATTTTATATTGAATTAGTTTAGGATTGTACATTTTTTTGAGTAACTCTTGAAATAATCAAATTTCTCATAATTTTCTTAAAGATTTTCTTTAGTTGGGTGTAATATAGAACAAAAGCTTCACTTGCAATGCTTTTTTGTCATCTAATTTTTCTTCTCTATATATATCAAAAACATAATCATAATGATCATATAAATTTATAATGAAGAATCTTAAAAGTAAAACTTAAATAACTGTATTGCCAATTTTCCAGGAAAACAAGAAAACTTTTCAATTTCTTGAATCCAAAGTATTTATGATTCTTCTATAAAGTAAATAAATTTTTGTATTATAAAATTAAACCTCCTTCTATAACTATTGTTAAATCTTAATGTTTAAAAGGACCTTAAATATTTAATTGTTAACTTGTTATAAAAATTTCTCCTTAAAATATAAAAAATCCAAGACTTTCTTCTCATGGTACTATATTCAGTCCAAAAAAATACCAATAATTTCATACATTAAAGGATCGATTTCATATTTATAAATGTGCATTTAATTATCAATACTTAGAAATTAAACCTTCTTTTAATAGTATTAGTTTATTGATCAACACAAGTTTAGATAATTTATAAAGTGTGATAGACGAGAATTTTATATGAATTATTAAAAATTCCTTAAGTATATATTTAGAATTATTATATAATCTTGTTTTAGTTTGAAAGTAACTAACTTGATTTAATTATTATTATTATTGAAAATTCTGATTTACAAAATAATAAGAATACCTAATAATATTTAGAAATTAATGATTGCTTTTTACATAAATATAAAATGATAAAATAATTATTCATAAAGAAGAAAGTAAAGTGAATGCTTGATTTCTAAATGATTATTAAGAAATTATATCATTTGAAATTTTATTATCAATTCCTACATTATAATGAAATGCTCTATTAAAAAAGACCAAAATTATAAATGAATAACATGATCTTTTTTTGATTATTTATGATATAGGAAATTTATATTTATTATCATTATGCATCTTCTATAGGAATTTTCTTATTATCGTTATATAAATCAATTACTCAAATATTTAAGACATGATTCTTAAAATAGGTGATTTTCCTAAGGACATAATAAGCTGCCTCTTTAACTTCATAATGATCTGGAATATCCAGGATCATTAAAATTGAAAGTGTCTCCTGTATATGATGTCATCTACACAAAGTGGCCACCATTATTGACATTCAAAATAACATGTAATCCAGCATCAAATTTATCTAAAAAATAATTATAATTCTAACATTTTGATTGTATCAACTCAGTTTGTTTCTCTCCTGATGGAAATATATTAGCTTCTGGTAGTTATGATAACTCTATCCGTCTCTGGGATGTCAAAACAGGATAATAAAAAGCCAAATTAGATGGTCATAGTGGAATAGTCTACTCAGTCTGTTTCTCTCCTGATGGAAATACATTAGCTTCTGGTAGTTATGATAAGTCTATCCGTCTATGGGATGTCAAAACAGGATAATAAAAAGCCAAATTAGATGGTCATACTAGTACTGTCTACTCAGTCTGTTTCTCTCCTGATGGAAATACATTAGCTTCTGGTAGTAATGATAAGTCTATCCGTCTATGGGATGTCAAAACAGGATAATAAAAAGCCAAATTAGATGGTCATACTAGTACTGTCTACTCAGTCTGTTTCTCTCCTGATGGAAATACATTAGCTTCTGGTAGTAATGATAAGTCTATCCGTCTATGGGATGTCAAAACAGGATAATAAAAAGCCAAATTAGATGGTCATACTAGTACTGTCTACTCAGTCTGTTTCTCTCCTGATGGAAATACATTAGCTTCTGGTAGTAATGATAAGTCTATCCGTCTATGGGATGTCAAAACAGGATAATAAAAAGCCAAATTAGATGGTCATACTAGTACTGTCTACTCAGTCTGTTTCTCTCCTGATGGAAATACATTAGCTTCTGGTAGTAATGATAAGTCTATCCGTCTATGGGATGTCAAAACAGGATAATAAAAAGCCAAATTAGATGGTCATACTAGTACTGTCTACTCAGTCTGTTTCTCTCCTGATGGAAATACATTAGCTTCTGGTAGTAGAGATTATACTATCCGTCTATGGGATGTCAAAACAGGATAATAAAAAGCCAAATTAGATGGTCATGATTGGCAAGTTAATTCAGTCTAAACCACCTGTAACGTTATATCCTGTATTTTTAATATTTTTATAAACCTTAATTCTTAAATTTATATAATTATCAAATTGTTTATTAGTGAGTTTAAATTTTAATAATATAAGTAAATATTCACAAGCATTTATGTGTGGCCAATGATTAATATCACAACTTTTGTACTTTTTATATATTTATTTAGTTCTTCAAATTTATTATCCAATTCATTTTAGGGGGTTAATTTAATTTTTATAGAGAAGATAAAAATTTTGTTTTTTTAAAAGGTTTAATATTGTGTGTATGGTTTACTTTTACTCATCTATTCCTTCAATTTTTACAATTGATTTGCTTTTTATTTATTATAAATTATCGATAATTTATGAATTTAATTGTTAAATTTAATCAGTTGATGAGTAAGGGATATTATTTTTCGTTTAGATATTAATTAATTTCGTGAAAATCCTCTTGAAGTTAACAATGATTATACATAATCTCAGTGATTTATAAATTTTTATTATTTAAATTATGTAAAAATTTATTTAGAGCTTTAAGTAATTATGATTTTAGATGCTGGTTAAAGAAGATCTAATTATCTCTGTAAGTCTTAAAACTACTTCTTGATGATTCATTAATCTTTTTAGTCTTTTATAAAATCTAATACTTTTCATATAAGTTGATTGGTACATTACGTTCAATAAGAAATATCATCCAATCTAATTGTTTTATTTATCATACTAATATTAAATTTATTTTTAAATATATTCTTAACCTACTGTTCTCTGTTTAAATTATTAATTAAAAGTAGTATCATTTATAATTTAATCTCTATAAATATATTAATTGATATTATTTTTTATAATATTTAAATTAATAATCCCTACACTAAACTTATCTCATATTTTAGTAATATTCAAATATATGAAGTGTAAAAATGACAGAAATGGAAAAAAACTTTTTTTAAAAATACTTCCTTTTCTTGCCTTAGAAGTGAATAGAGTGAATTAAACTAATAAAGACAGAAATAAAAAATATTATATATTGATTATAATTATAACCGTTTTTTTGATAATGATTAAAATCATTTGTTCTATAAGTCTTCTAAAAAGCAACTTCCTTTTTATTTAAACAATGTTTTTAAATCTATACTGGATTGATTTATAAACTCTCCTTTCAGAATTAAAGCTCCTTTGGCTTGAAATATTGCCTTTTGGGAAATGAAAAGTGTTGTAATGTAATTGGAGGCTAAAAAGATGATAGGAGATAAATACTACCTTCGGAAATATGGCTCTGCTATTGGAGTGGAATCTTAAATTATGCAACAATATCTTTGTAGTATTTATCAGAGGATTTTCTTTCTTTTCCATTTTTCACATCCCATAGACGGATAGACTTATCTACACTACCAGAAGCTAATGTATTTCCAT